ACCAGATCAAGGTTGACTCAGCCTGTCATCCTTCCCAAGTCAGTAAAATGAAGACCCAGATTGTTGGGGGGAATATACTGACTCTGTAAACCGCTTAGATAAGGATGTAAAGCACTATGGTATGTAAGTGTAAGTGTTATTGCTATAGTCAAATATGTATTATTTAATAACTTTTGTATCCCATGTTCAAGAATCCAGTCTCACTTGCAATTTAAAGGACTACAAAACATAATACTCAGTATCAAATTTTTACACCCATATGTGTCAGTGAAACTTCAGTTCTAAACAACCAACTGAAATCCCAAACATAACTAAAACATAATACAGATCTACAGACAAAAATTTTATTTCCCTACAGTTTCTGTCAAGATAATAAAGACAGCAGGGGTGTTGCAGAGATGGACTTCAGGGAGACATTTGGCCAATATTAAAGCAGATGCCAAAAACAGCCCCCCCCTGCCAGAAATACCAAAGGATTAAGCTGCTTTTTCCATCATTGTTGCCTGCATCTAATAGTAGTGAGGACAGGTGCATCATCCAAGCAATGGCTGGATAATGCTACAGTACAGTAGTGCATTTTATTTATTAATCAAATTTAGAAACCACCCATCTCCCTCACAAAAGGATGTTGAATAGCATACAAATAAAATATTGAAAAACAAACTTTATGAAATTTAAAAAGAGGCAAAGATAGTTAAAATTCAGTTCTAAAAATTAATTAAAAGGCAGGGGGCAGGACTTTGAGTGCTACAAATCCCACACCTATGTATTCCTCTGTGAGCCCCAAGCAGGATAGCAGAGCCAGGTTGTCCCGAAGGTGCTTTTAAAAAAATGGCAACTGGTCTTTCTTGAGTTTTCTTTTTTCAAGAAAAATCAAGAAAACCCAGATCCTTTTTTAAAGCACTTTTGGGGCAACCATGACGACTGGAAATCTCAACAGACACAGAGCGAGGTCTTTCTGAAAGGCCAGGAGAGTGAGGGTCTATCTCATTTCTGGGGGCAAAATGTTCCAAGGGTAGGGGGTAACAACTGAGAAGGTTCTCTTCCTGCACCTTGATAATTTGAATTATTTGATGGGAGTCCACTCTCAGTGGGCTGGGCTGATGTAAATGGTTTGAAGACAGTTCAGTATGTAACTTGGCCCCATACCACATAGGATTTTAAAGGTCACAACGAACATCTTGAATTAGACTCACAAGTAAACTGGCACCTAATGGCAGTATAACAGCTATTAACTAACTGTGTGCCACCAAGTCATTGTCAATTCTTAGCAACCACATCTTCTCTTCATTATGATCTGTCTCTACCCTGGTCTTTTAGTCCCCTGACAACACCCCACATCACCACTGTAACCTAGTCTGTCCATCTTCTTGTCGGTTGTCCTTTTCTTCTTTCTTTCCACCTCCACCTTTCCCAGCATTAGAGCTTTCTCCAGAGAGCGAGGGCTTCACATAATGTGTTGGAAGTGGGATAATTACTAGTTGTAAAATGGCCTCTGTCAAGCCAGTGACACTTCTTTCTGGTTGAATGACAAGGGAAGAAAACAAGCCACCTAGGTGATACTATGTACAGCTATGGGAGCACCCCAATCAGAGCAGCTGGAAGTAACTAAGATGTATTAACATTAAGCAGATGAATTAATGAGGTAGTTCCATCACACTGAGAGTGGCTTTTTTGGGTAAAGTCCGCTAAGGCTGGGCTGCAAAATTCCAGACGGTAGCAACGCAGAGGCATAGCCTTCAGTATTCTTTGCTGCCATCTAGTGGTCGTCTGGGTTTTAGAGGCCTAGATTTCTTAGCCTTGACACATCTTTCGCGGAACTCGCCATTCCATAAATGCCACTCCGCAACCAGGGACACAGAGATGACTCACACGGTCTCTCTGCGCATGCGGATACGCATGGCAAGTACGCCAGCCCGGTGGAATTAAGAAGGCCCCAGGATCGGAGAAAGAGCAGTGGAGATTGACGGCTAGAACGCCAACGCCGGCCTTTTGCCTTCTCGCCAAACGGCTGCTCTATTTAAAAGCGTCAGTTCCGATTCCTGGTGGGCAGGCTAAAGGAGGGAAGGATGGTAAAAGGGGACGAGGTCGCGGCCGAACCCGAATTCCCTGAACAGTTCCGCTCCTACTCGGAGAACGAAAAACACTGGCAAGCGCGGCGCGCCTTCATCCTGCGCAATAGCCCTCTGGAGGGCGGGGAGGCTCCCACTCCGCTGTGTATGGACCAGCTGCTCTCCCTCTCTATGGTTTGGGCCAATCATCTCTTCCTGGGATGCAGGTACCGCCTCCTCCTCCCTTCGTTCGCACGGGCTCCAGAATTTGGACGTCGCAGCTGGGCCCTCATCGCACCCGGCTGGGACAGATGGAAGTTGTCCGATGCTGCACCAGGGAAACGCTAGAGTAGTAGGGGAAGGCGGTGACGAGCAGTAGGCTGCCAGCCGTTTACTCATTCCACGCATGCGCAGGGATTACCCGGTGTTTTCTTAACCGCCCATTTTTTAAAGGGATTACGTCATAGAAAGAGAAGCCTCCTCCTTTATATTTGCGGGTTTGAGAGCAGTTTCACCTGTTTCCTACCAGGACAGGTAGTGAAAGGGAAATAAGCATATTCAGTCTTAAAAATACAGCCGGACCACAAACATGGTTTTCTTTCTAGAGGGGAAAAAGGACAATTATGTATGTAGATATTGAAATAAGGTTAACAGAGTACCATGACAGGATTTCTTGAAGTTGTTTGCTCTTTAATTCAGATAAAAATTGATATGCTGCACATCCTCGTCCAACAATTTTGTGTATTTCCTGTCATTCAATGATGATTAATGGTCTCTGATAATAGATTGTTCCATGCAAGTTATATTTCCCATCATATTGGAATAATGGATTGTACTTTCACACCATGTCACCATAAAAGAAATCGCTGTTATACAAAAATGGGAAGATACTATTTCAGGATAGGCAACCCACTTATTTTAAGTACTTTGTTCTCATTCTTAGGCCAGCTAGTGTCTTGGGGTAACTTACATAAGGTCATTAAGAGCAATACTATGCTATTAAAATAAGGCTATTTTAAAAGGTGACAATGATGGCATTTTGCCACACTTCTTTTTCTCCTATTCACAGGTCAGTTTGTTCAAAGGAACTAGAAGCAGGTGGGGAAAATGTTGATAGAAGTTCACTTTGCTGATTTTTAAATCTTTTTTAAGAAAGATGTTTAAATCTGTTTTAAAAAGAGTAATCTGAAAGTTTGTGAGCTTTTGGTATTTACTGTAGGGTTACGGGGATTTGCTTTCCAAATTTGCTTTATCTATCTATCTATCTATCTATCTATCTATCTATCTATCTATCTATCTATCTATCTAT